TCGATTCCGGTCAAGGGCATGTACCTGGGTTGCAGGCACATCCCCAGTGGGAGATGTGCAGGAGGCAGCTGATCGATGTTTCTATCTCATCGATGTTTCTAGCTCTCTATCTCTCTCCCTTCCTCTCTGTAAAAAATCAATAAAATATATTTTAAAAAAAACTTTAAAAAAATAACATAAATAAAAAATAAAAATAAAAAAAGATCATGTTTGAGTCATACATACTTAAGATCCTTAATTCACTGTATCTTCATGTTTTCAATGGTAAGGAAGGGTTCATAATTCTTCACATAATAATTATAAGGATTGAGAAGTTAATGTTTCAAAACCAAATAATAAAGTGGGTAGAAGAAAGGAAGTTTATTAAAAATAGTCATTAGATTATAGAGCTTTTACTAGATCCTTCAGGCATATGGAAACCTAAGCATAATTCAGAAAGATTTTTAGTATAGGATTTTAGGCTAAATGGAAATGGGCTTTCTTTGGTATAGAAGATGTTCAACAATTCAGTTGGAAATTAAAGTGGCATTGATTCAGGGTACCTGAAAATATCAATCTCTTGGTGGATCTGCAACCATGGGAGCATCACAAAAGCCTGTCTTCTATTCACTCACTAAACTGTCCTATGACAATTTCAACCATCAATAGTAAACCTACTGAGTCCCTGCCATGTACAGGTCAAAATGCTGGAATCTGGAAAGCTACTATCTCGAAGATAAGAATTGATAGTGTTGTTATATTCTGGGGATGACTGTGAAAATTTACCAGAGTTCAGTGTTATAAGCTTAATACAAGAAATGTGTGACTAGCATTATGGTGTGAAAGCCCACAAGGATCCTCACATGCGGATACAGTGGAGATTTTGAAAGGGATCATTTCAGAGCAACGCCAGTGCTTGCCTTGTGCACTATTCAGAAGTGTTCCTCACCCAGCAAGTCTTCCAGTCTAGGCCAACTCTGAAAGGCTTTCAGTGCATATACCTGGCTTTAGTGTTACAGGAGAAATTTCATCAATAAAAATATAGCCTTAAGCGGGCACATCCCCAGTAGGGAGTGTGCAGGAGGCAGCTGATCAATGTTTCTCTCTCATTGATCAGATGCAATTAAACGTAATTTTTAAAAGTTCTCAGCAAATTTTATTGGAAGTCTTAATATCACAATTTCCTTTTTACAGCTGCATTTTCGCTGTTTGGGTAACACATGTTCAACTTGATAGAAGCTTCCTTACTACCTAAAGCTCCTCATGTTACTTTTTGTCAGCAGTCATTTTAAGATTAATTATTTACGAATTCATCCTCTGTTCCAGAGTAAGTTTCAGAAAAGCTCAAGCTCACATCTGTCTTACTCTTAGGTCACAATAAGACCAACGGTAGGGTACCCAGTTGTACTACTTCCTCACTCCTGTCCCCTGAGTCAGTCTTTACAGGAAGATAACTCTTGCTTTAAGGTAAATTCCTGGCACATTACACATACAGGCAATCACTATAGTTGCCCATAATAATAACTGTAGTTAATGTTCACTGAGCACTTTGAGGGGTCAAGCTTTGTTTTTAGCCCTTTTCATATCTTCATTTTGTTAACACTTAACTATAGTCCTTCAAGGTGCCATTACTTGTTGTACCCATGTAGCAACCGAAAAACAGAAAGGCATTAGGCTGTCCAAGATCACACAGATTGTAAGTTACAATTATGTTTCAAACTCAGGCACTGTGGCTCTAGAGCCCTTTTCTCAGCTCCTGGGGTATACTACCTCTTTCCATGAATCACAGCTTAGGGAAAATGTGGTGGAAAATACTTAAATAACTATTTTTTTGTTTCATTAATATTTGTTATTTAATTAAATATATCTGTAATTATTTATGTATTTTTATAAGACCACAGTTTTAACTTATTATTTTAATTTTCCATCTCCATAACAAAATCACTGTTGAGTTCTAACCAGTTTGGCTCAATGGATAGAGTGTCAGCCTGCAGACTGAAAGGTCCCAGGTTTGATTCCAGTCAAGGGCATGTACCTTGGTTGCGGGCACATCCCCAGTAGGGAGTGTGCAGGAGGCAGTTGATCAATGTTTCTCTCTCATTGATGTTTCTA